AAATCTGAACTTCACTTCTTTTGTGAACGGGAAGGAGAATTCTGTGGAGACGTTTTACTATATACAGATCAAATCCATTCTAGTCGGCGGCGAAGCTCTGGACATACCTGAAGAAACATGGAATATCTCACCAGATGGTGCTGGTGGAACCATCATTGATTCTGGGACAACCTTAAGCTATTTCGCAGAACCTGCATATGAGATCATAAAAAACAAGTTTGCAGAGAAAATGAAAGAGAACTACCTGGTGTTTAGAGATTTCCCGGTCCTTGATCCTTGCTTCAACGTATCTGGCATAGAAGAGAACAACATCCATCTGCCGGAGCTCGGGATTGCATTTGCAGACGGCGCAGTTTGGAATTTCCCTGCTGAGAACTCCTTCATTTGGTTGAGTGAGGATTTGGTTTGCTTGGCAATTCTAGGAACTCCTAAATCTACATTCTCGATCATCGGAAACTACCAACAACAGAATTTCCATATACTCTATGATACAAAGATGTCTAGGCTAGGGTTTACACCCACAAAGTGTGCGGACATATAACCTCATGTATTATAAACACAAAGTAACTGTACACAGGATAACACATGAAGAACCTATTTTCTTTTATTCTTTAGTGTAATCCTATTCAAACAACAAGTAACACATTGTACCAAGATTTCAAAGAAAAGATCAACCTATATTTATCATTGGACAATCTGATTTCTGATTACAAGCAACTCCTTCTGCTATATGCAGTTGTATATAAATTCATACTTAAGGGAAGAGTTGAACATAGCCAGTTAAGATAGCAATAGCTAGAATGACCAAAGGCGGAAGGATTACAAAGGCACCGATAGTAGCAAAGAAAACAGAATCATTCCTCTGAGAGACCTCATTAAGGTAGCTCTGTCTCTTAATGTTCCTTTTCTGAGAAATGGTTAAGAATTTAGGACTCACTTTCTTTAAGTTCTTGCCTAAGGGAATGGTGAAATCGTCGTCTCTGTCACCAACAAGTCCAGCCAATTGGTTACGAATTGTGATTCCTCTTGAGCCACCAGCATCACTCAAGTACCCTGATGATTGATATAAACCCCAGGTGATTATTCTACGATTCTAATCAAAACCCAATTCTAAGAGAAAAGAGCAAGTCATGTACCATCACTTGTTGAAGTTAGCTGTTCAAGGAGATCTAGTTGCGTGCGTACTGATGACGAAGAAGAAGAAGAACCTACAAGGAAACGAATTCGATGGTAATCAGAGCTCAAAAGATGAAACTTTCACATTTCTACTACATAGAAATCAAGCAAAAAGATCGAAACTTTTTTGGATCATGTACCGGAGAAAGAAGAAGAAGAAGAAGAAGAATCGTTGTTGTCAGTGACGCCGATTTCGCTCCGCTCAGAACGGACGCGTGTTGCTGGAGGAGAAGAGAGTTGCAGAAGGAGATGATGATGTCTCTGTTTGGATCGAGAGGAAGAAGATGGGTTTGAAATTGGGTGAAGAGAAGTGGAGAAGAAGTTCAAGGCCATGACATGAAAAGCTCCAAGCTTCCAATGCGAAAAATTCGATTTTTCTATACTGTTCCTCTGAGATTCCAAATATTCAATTTTCGTTGAGAGGTCAGGAAATTTTTCAAATATTACTTTGGGAAAAAATAATTATTAATGTCGGACCAAATTAAACCGCCTCACACGTGTGAAGTGACGTGTAAAGCAAAAATGGAAAAAAACCAACGACTCCACTGGGGATCGAACCCAGAATCTCTGGTTTCGTAGACCAGCGCCTTATCCATTGGGCCATGGAGCCTTTCTTATTTGTTGTATTCCTTATAAAGTAATTGTATCAAACGTAAACATCAACTAGTCCACAATATATATGAAGACATATTTACATGAAGTTTTGTTTAAAGTTTTCCTGCTATGTCAAATTCCTACAATTATAGCTGAGAAATTTGTCACTGTGATTAAAGTAAGAGGAAAAAATATATGTAAATGTGTGTTTTAAGACTTTTTGTTTTTGTTGTTGTAAATGTGTGTCTTTGGATTGTCTTTGGATACTTCTTTGATGTGTTGTTGATAATTAAAGTTGGGTTTGATAAATTATATATGATTCTTCACCTCAGTAACAGTTTGTGTATTAGAACTCTAAGCTTCTTTTTTAGCAGTAAATTGTTACATTTTTTTTATATTTTAAGTAAGTGTTGTTGTAGACGAAGATAAAAACATAGTACAACATAGGTGAGTAGACACAAATAAGTCATTATTTATTGAATCTTTGGCTATGCTTAATGATTTCTAGTAAACATACTACAACATAGGTGAGTAGACACAAATACGTGGGTATGATATCATTGAATCTTTGGGTATGCTTAATGCTTTCTAGATTTGTTGCATTTTACTTGGTTTATCTTCTCACACTTTCTTGAATTTTTTTTTTTTGAACAAGAACCATTTTATGGAATAAAGGGAACGCTTACAACAGAGAACCTGCACCTTAAAGCAACAACAAACACAGTACAATCAACTTTCTTTGAATCTTGATGTGTTCATTGTTCTTAAATATACTAATTAAATGATTTTGGTTTATTGTCATCAGAGATGCTATGCTTTGGTGAATTCAGAAGGACAAGAGTTTGAAGAGACTATTTAAAGTGGAGCTACAGGAAAAAAGAGAAGCACAAAACAAAAGCAATTCATTAAGACAACATCATAGAATTTTTGCATTGATAAAAGGTTCTCGAATTGTGTTGTGACATAGCATTGGTGGAGTTCATTAAAACTCCCATTTTTTATGTTTTTTTTAATTTGTCTTCTCCAGCTTTTGACTGCACTGTCAAAGACAACAATATATTGAAAAGTAACTATAACTCTTACAAAACCATCAACGTTTTCACTATACTCATACTTGGCATGCACAACTTTTCCGAGTCCAATTTTGATATATATATATATATACTTCTATGATTATATCACAGTCAGTACCCGTGCATAGCACGGGCTCAACACTAGTTTTTTTTATATATATTTTAAGTAAGTGTTGTTGTAGACGAAGATAAAAACATAGTACAACATAGTACATGTTTCATTTTTCGTATCTTTTTATATGTGTTTCTTCACATAAATGTTATAAAACGGAACTAGAAACGATGTTTAATTATTGAGACTCGGAGGTCGAAACTACAACGGAAATAGAGAATGTGTTCATATGCTTACTGTTGTTGACCTTTGAAACGAAGTCGTAATTGTCGGTCTCAAATAGCCGTTGTGAATGCTTATGTCTTTTTTGTGGTCAAGCAATGCAAAGGAGAAAAGTTTGAAAGCAGAAACATGAAAATTGATGAATCACACGAAAGATAAACTTTTCTTCTTTAATCCATCTTTATATCTTTTCCTATAAAGTGTTACAGAAAGGAAACGCAATATACAAATACGAGTGTATACAATATAGTATATACGACAATTGGATTTCCTTTCAATAATTATTTATATATTAAAATTTAAAAACACTAAAACTCTTCGAGTGAAGCTTACCTATATGTGACTTTTTTTATTTAATCTGTTTGCATTGTTTTTCTATATGTTTATGGAGTTCAAGTGTTCAATTATGCTAAACGATGAGATCGAAGAAAGTACACTTTTGAATGTATAAAATGGATACACCAATCAGAGTTTTCTGTTTTGGGATTCACCAATGTTTTGGAGTTTCAAACTCGCATACTTCTAGTGAGAATGCCTTGAGAATTCTAGATATGATGGCAGACAAATCAAAGGATTCAAGCAGTAATTTTCAACTACGTTGTTTAGAGTAGCTAAGTTCAATGTTAGTTGTTAGTTCATTGAATCTAATTTGTTTTCCATCTTACTCTATATCATATTTTTTGTATATCAATTAAATCGATTTGAAGTGCTACTATTTTTGAATTTATGATCAGATTCTAACGACACTTGTCAACTTGCGCAATCACCCCATATGGGTTCACTATATATATCACTAGTCTTTTTTTTTTTTTTGGTGTAAAAGGAAATTTGACATATGGGCGTCAATAATAGCATAACTAAATTGCACACATGGAGAAATAATAGAAATCTAGTATCAATAATTTGATTAAGAGTAATCATTCTTTTCTGACGTTCCATCACATATTTTTTTCTAAAAACGAATCACATAACTTTGGGAGAATAACACTTGAGGACGAATCTAGCTGAAAGGAGGTGTAAGACACGTGAGAAGCACGTGATCACATGGCAGCAACAACAATATTCAGAAAAATTGGCCATTCTTCCTCTGCAAAACCTTGGCCTTAGCCTGTAACCCCACCCACCATCGACCAATCACACAACGACCAACATGCTAGTGCAAACGTTTGTAGTATAAATTATTAGGGACTTACCATATCCAAAATCATCTTTATTAAAACATAAAACGAATATGATTATGTTTAAAAGCTGATAAGATTTATTAATCTTTTGGCATAAAACTTTATCCAAAAGTTATGCTTCAAGTAAAGCCTCCATCAAAGGCTTTTAAATCTCTATCTCATATGAATTCATTTTCTCCAAGAAAGGCACATTGGTTTCTTACATATGACTTATGAGTTGTAACATTCCCCAAAACAAAGACATAAATTTCTCTAAATGTGCATTTGAATGCTATATATTATTCTCCTCGACCAAATTTATAATACCAATATATAAAGTCTTCAATAAGCTTATTAAATAGTATTTGTAGTACAGAAAAATAAAATTGTAAATTTTGATAGAATCCAAAACTAGACATGTGAAAGGAAGAAAAAAAGGTATATTGAAGAGTGAGAATAATATTGACCTAAAAATTCCAAAGCCTGTGTTTGGGAATTCCCTCCCCTATCTATCTATCTCTACCCACTTCATTTTATTTTTTTATGAAATAATTTTTATTCATTTATAGATAACTAAAAACAAAATTTGTAAAAAATATCTTTTTTTAATGATTATTCAAGTAGCTATAAATGTCACAGTTGACAAATCCACTGTCTTTGCTTTCCCTTCACTGCTCACTTCTTCTCTCTCTCCCTCTCTCTCTCTCTTGTTTCCTCCATTGCAAACAAAGCTAAACCATTTTTTCACCAAACTTTTTTTTTTTTCTTCCCATTAACCCATTACTGTGTTAATTTTTATACACACACACACTTCCTTGTTCTATTATCATTTTTTAGCTTTTAACCATAACCCTGAATCGAGTTCCTACTTCTGGGTTGGTGAATTTTAGCTCTGTTTAGCTCAAAATCTCCTCCAATTCATTATTGGTAAATCTATGCCAATTAAAGTTACTCTTGTTTTATTTCACTATCTTTCTTTCTCTGGTTTGCTTCTGAAACAGATAAAAAAAAAATAGAGCCTTTTTTTTCTTCATCATTGTTTCTTCTGTTCTGTTCTAAGATGAAGATATAAATCAAAAGGGCAAAGCTTTAGTCTCTCTCCCAACATACTAAGGTAATTTCTTCATGCTTACCCTGAATGTTTTCTTTCGATGGCATTATGTGATTGATTCTCTGTAAATTGTCTCTTGCTTCAAAGTTAAGTGATGCTTTTTTCGATGATTTTTTAAAAGCCGAGATTCGCTTGTTTCTTCAAGCTCCCATCTTTTGTGGGGACACGTAATGCCCATAACTTGTTTGTTGATATGCCGATATTTTTTACTTATACCAATGGAAAGTGTGCGTTTTTTTTTCTTACTCACATCTATTAGATTCTTTCATTTGACATCAGATTGAGTTATCTTCCATTGCTTCTACTGTTTCTGTGTTGGTTATGGATAAATGTCAAATGAGAAGTTTGAAAGATATCTTTTTAGTCTTTGTGTGATGTATGCAAGTGTTTAATGTGAGACAGTCATTTATTGTGTAGGTAGTTATAGTGAAGTGTTAAGAGAAGCAAAAAAAGAAGGTTTTTGGCAGCTAGATACAGGACCAGAGATGTCACCTGAGAGTTCGTTAAACGCTGAAATGTCCAAGAAGATATCATTTTTTGGTTTAAAGGGGTTGAAGTTGTGGGTATGGGTATGTTTGGTAGTTGGAGTATTCATAGTTATGATTCTCTGCATCTTGTCTCTATGGATCACATTCCGCCGGAAATCTAGAAGATCTTCAAGCAAGTTTCCTTTCAACCAAATCCCACACGTGTCCAAAGATATCAGAGTCGACAGGGCTGGTGTTCAGAATCCTCACCCTGAAAGTTTATATATAGAAATGAATGATAAATCCACCGGAAAAACGATGATGTCTCACTTGGGAAGAACCAAGTCTAGCGATAATGATACTTTGAGTCAGTGTAGCTCTGTCAATCACCATGAGAGAGCTTGTAGTTCTCATTCTGGTGAAGAAGGAGGCTTTGGAAGTGCTGGCAGACTGTATGGAGGAGGACCTGTAACAGCATCTCCTTTGGTTGGTTTACCAGAAATATCCCATCTTGGTTGGGGACACTGGTTTACTCTTAGGGATCTTGAGCTAGCTACCAACCGTTTTGCTGCAGTGAATGTGCTTGGAGAGGGTGGTTATGGAGTAGTTTATAGGGGTAAACTTGTTAATGGTACCGAGGTTGCTGTGAAGAAGCTTCTGAACAATCTGTAAGTTTTCAACTGGTATATCAAATGTTTGTGAATACTATGTTTCCTTTCCTTAATAATCCTTTTCCAATATTGGTCTTTAGAGGGCAAGCTGAGAAGGAATTTCGGGTAGAAGTTGAGGCTATTGGTCATGTACGACACAAGAATCTTGTTAGGCTTTTAGGATATTGCATAGAGGGAGTTCATCGGTGAGTCTCACTTTTCTTTTATTATTTTGAACATACTTCTACTGCTGGAGCAAAATGATCGTACTTTTATCTAAATATGATGATGAATGCAGGATGCTTGTTTATGAGTATGTTAATAGTGGTAACTTAGAACAATGGCTACATGGAGCAATGCGGCAACATGGAAATCTCACTTGGGAGGCACGGATTAAGATCATTACTGGTACTGCACAAGCGTAAGTGGTTTGAAACAGTTTAGCTATTGTTGGATATGTTCAATGCTTGAATATTAAAAGGGTCTGCAATTTGTACAACTTTACAGGCTTGCTTACTTACATGAAGCAATAGAACCAAAAGTGGTCCACAGAGACATAAGAGCAAGTAATATATTGATTGATGATGAGTTTAATGCAAAACTCTCTGACTTTGGGGTTAGCCAAGCTCTTGGACTCGGGTGAGAGTCACATCACTACCAGAGTCATGGGTACCTTTGGGTAAAGTCCAGAAGCGTTGTACCCTCCTTAGGCCATTATGGTTATTATTATCTTCTCAGATGATGTCCTTACAAAGAAATCATGGATGTTTTTTTCTTTATTATTGTTTTCAGATATGTAGCACCAGAATATGCTAATACAGGTCTGTTAAACGAAAAGAGTGATATATATAGCTTTGGTGTCTTGCTTCTTGAAGCTGTAACTGGACGAGATCCAGTTGATTATGGACGTCCTGCTAATGAGGTGAGGCTTAGTTAATTGGTCTTGCTTTCGTTAACGTATCGAAAAAAGTTTTATATATTGAATGGGTTTGTATATTGGCAGGTGAATCTTGTTGAATGGCTAAAGATGATGGTTGGAACAAGAAGAGCAGAGGAAGTTGTGGATCCAAAACTTGAACCTCGACCTAGTAAAAGTGCTTTGAAACGTGCACTTTTGGTTTCCCTTAGATGTGTTGATCCTGAAGCAGAGAAACGTCCTAGAATGAGTCAGATAGCTCGGATGCTTGAATCCGATGAACACACTTTTCACAAGGTACTAAAATCTTTTATCACTTGATGGTCCAAAGCTGTAACAAATGTTATATATATGTTTCTGTATTCATAAAGCAAACAAAATCTTCATGTTTTGGCAGGAGAGGAGGAACAGAAAGAGCAGAACCGCGAGCATGGAGATTGTTGAGACCAAAGACGAATCTCTTGGACCTAGCGGTGCAGAGACTCACATTACAAAGCCTGAGAAGACACATGAATAAGAAATAGATGAGGCGAAAAAGCCATTAGACCCGGCTCAGTAGCATATTCAAGTCTTGAAATGCTCTGTTTCTACTTAGCAACTAATTGATTGATTGATGATCACACACGTTTGGTTGTGGAAAGTAGAAATCTCACTCAGATGATCAAAAGAGCCTGTGGATGACTGATACAAATCTTAGGAGGCATTATTATTTTTCTTTTTCTAATATTTATATATTTTTGGCTAATTATTCCTGTCTTCTTGTCTGTACGGAACGTTTGTCAGTCAAGGACATGTGTTTAAGATTTCTGTGACGTAAGAAAGAGAGATGTCTTTGTAGTAAATCTAAGGATTGATGATGTTCAATTACAAAAGAAAGAGACAAAACTAAGTTCAATTATAATGGCTATTGGCTAAGTTTAAAGCTCCTCATATAGGAATCCATATATATATATATATATATATTTTATGAAATATAAGAATCCATATTAGTTGTTATTTCCTTATTACAAAAACAACCATATAAGAATGTGAAAACTTTATTGAACGAGGACAAAAGAATACGAAGTTGAATTACCAAAACAATAATTTAAGTCTAACGTCCATAAATACTTAACATTGTTACCAAAAAAAAAAAATAAATAAAAGTCTAACGTCCATAAAAACCACTAGCTTTTCTTGCACATCTGTCAAATGTTGCATCGTATTTGTCGTATTGTTTTTGTGATTTCTCTCACTCTCTCACATCATTAAAATAAGTTGAATTAGATTCTTTGACACGTTCCCATCACGTGGCCAGTTAAAAGCTACAACAGTAATTCTCTTTGCTTTGCATACTTATCAAATATATTAATGATGAATAAGAGAACCAAATTCATGAAATCAATTTTTATTGGTTTAGATACTCACGATATACTCATATACAGTAATGTACTTTTAAAAGAGCAATTGCATAGAATTACAAAATAACCTAATCGACCACGTAAGAACAAGACATGAAATAATATCTTCTATTGAAGAAGCATGAGAAATAAAAATATTACAAGGCCTAGCCCAAGTTCTTTTTTAGCGTAATACATAATCATGCTCATAAGCTCATATAGTGGATGGCAAGGAAAATGGTTTTGAAACCATTTCTGAGATGAAACTTGTAGTTGTAGCTTTTTTTATGAAAAAATGGTTTGAAACTAATTAGTTAGTTTTCGACATTTTTAAAATTTAACACATAAACTAATTTTTAAAAAATAATAGTGAATTTAATATGGTTTTGGATAAAAGCATTATTTTTTTTAAAATTGTAAGTGTTAAATTTTAGTGATCATTATCAATTTTTAAAAATGAGTTAAAGCATTAATTTTATATTACGTGAAAACATGCCAAACTTCGAACACTAAAGCTTACGGACCAACTAAGGACCAAATGCCTAGGCGCAATTAGTTTTCGACGTTTTTAAAATTTAACACTTCAACTAATTTTTATAACGTAATAGTGAAATTAACATGGTTAAAAGCATTATTTTATTAAAATTTTAAATGTTAAATTTGTTTTAAATATTAGTGAAAAGTCATTATCAAGTTTTTTAAAATGAGTTTAAGTCTTAAATCTATATTACGTGAAAACATGCCGAACTTCACAACCAAAACTTACGGACAAACGAAGGACACAATGCCTATACGCGGTTAGTTTTCGACGTTTTTAAAATTTAACACTTCAACTAATTTTTAAAAAGTAATAAGAAATTAACATGATTTTGGTTAGAAAACATTATTTTCTTAGAGTTTTAAGTGTATAATTTGTTTTACATTTTAGTAAAAAATATTATCAATTTGTAAAAATGAGTTTGAGTCTTAAATCTATATTACATGAAAATATGCCAAACTTTGAACACTAAAGCTTACGGACCAACTAGGACATGATGCCTAGGCGCGGTTAGTTTTCAATGTTTTTAAAATTTAACACTTAAACTATTTTTTAAAAAGTAATAGTAAATTTAACATAGTTTTGGTTAAAAACATTATTTTATTTAAGTTTTAAGTTTTAAATTTTTTTAAAATTTTAGTGAAAATCATTATCAATTTTTAAAAATGAGTTTAAGTGTTAAATCTATATTACGTAAAAACATGTCGAACATCGAACACCAAAGCTTACAGACCAACTAAGGACATGATGCCTATGCGCGGTTAGTTTTCGACGTTTTTAAAATTTAACACTTAAACTAATTTTTAAAAAGTAATAGTGAATTTAACATGATTTTGGTTAAAAACATTATTTTCTTAAAGTTTTATGTGTTAAATTTGTTTAAATTTTAGTGAAAATCATTATCAATTTTTAAATGAGTTTTAGTGTTAAATATATATTACGTGAAAACATGATGAACTTCGAACACCAAGCTTAAGGACCAACTAAGGACAGGATGCCTAGGCATGGTTAGTTTTTGACGTTTTTAGAATTTAACACTTAAACTAAGTTTTAAAAAGTAATAGTGAATTTAACATAGTTTTGGTTAAAAACATTATTTTCTTAAAGTTGTAAGTGTTAATTTTGTTTTAAATTTTAGTGAAAATCATTATCAATTTTTAAAAATGTGTTTAAGTGTTAAATTTATATTACGTGAAAACATGCCGAACTTCGAACACCAAAGCTTACAGACGAACTAAGGACAGGATGCCTACGCGCGGTTAGTTTTTGACATTTTTTCAAATTTAACACTTAAACTAATTTTTAAAATGTAATAGTGAATTTAACATGGTTTTGATTAAAAACATTATTTTTAAAAAGTTTTAAGTTTTAAATTTGTTTTAAATTTTATTGAAAATCATTATCAATTTTTAAAAATAAGTTTAAGTGTTAAATCTATATTACCTGAAAACATGCCGAACATCGAACACCAAAGCTTACAGACCAACTAAGGACATGATGCCTATGCGCGGTTAGTTTTTGAAGTTTTTTAAAATTTAACACTTCAAATAATTTTTAAAAAAGTAATAGTGAAAGTAACATGGTTTTGGTTAAATGCATTATTTTCTTAAAATTTTAAATGTTAAATTTGTTTTAAATATTAGTGAAAAGTCATTATCAATTTTTAAAAATGAGTTTAAGTCTTAAATCTATATTAAGTGAAAACATGCTGAACCTCGCACATCAAAGCTTACAGACCAACGAAGGACAGGATGCCTATGCGCGGTTGGTTTTTGACATGTTTAAAATTTAACACTTATACTAATTTTTAAAAAGTAATAGTGAAAGTAACATGGTTTTGGTTAAAAGCATTATTTTCTTAGAGTTTTAAGTGTAAAATTTGGTTTACATTTTATGAAAATTATTATCAATTTTTAAAAATGAGTTTAAGTCTTAAATCTATATTACGTCAAAACATGCCAAAATTCGTCCACCAAAGCTTATAGACCAACTAAAGACAGGATGCTTAGGCGCGATTAGTTTTTAAAGTTTTTAAAAAATTTAACACTTAAACTAATTTTTAAAAATAATAGTGAATTTAATATAGTTTTGGTTATAAACATTACTTTTTAAAGTTTTAAGTGTTAAATTTGTTTTAAATTTTACTGAAAATCATTATAAATTTTAAAAAATGAGTGTTAAATCTATATTACTTGACAACATGCCGAACTTCGAACACCAAAGCTTACGGACCAACTAAGGACAAGATGCCTAAGCGCGGTTGGTTTTTGACGTTTTTAAAATTAACACTTAAACTAATTTTTAAAAATTAATAGTGAATTTAACATGGTTTTGGTTAAAAGCATTATTTTCTTAAAGTTTTAAGTGTTAAATTTGTTTTAAAATTTAGTAAAAATCATTAAATTTTTTAAAATGAGTTTAAGTGTTAGATTTATATTACGTGAAAACATGCCGAACTTCGAACACAAAATCTTACGGACCAACTAAATACAGGATGCCTAGGCGCGGTTAGTTTTCTACGTTTTTAAAATTTAACAATTGAAATAATTTTTAAAAACTAATAGTAAAATTAACATAGTTTTGGTTTAAGTGTTTAAGTGTTTAGGTGTTTTCTTAAAGTTTAAACCTTTATACTTATTTTAGTTTTCTTAAATTTTTCTTAAAGTTTAAACCTTTTTTCTTAAAGTTTAAGTGTTTTATCTAAAATATCTAAAAATTTAACACCTGAACTAATTTTTAAAAATTAATAGTAAAATTAGCATAGTTTTGGTTTAAGTGTTTAAGTGTTTTCTTAAAGTTTAAACCTTTATACTTATTTTAGTTTTCTTAAAGTTTAAACTTATTTTCTCAAAGTTTAAGTGTTTTATCTAAAATATATAACAATTTAACACTTGAACTAATTTTTAAAAATTAATAGTAAAAGTAACATAGTTTTGGTTTAAGTGTTTAAGTTTTGAAGTGTTTTCTTAAAGTTTAAACCTTTATACTTATTTTAGTTTTATTAAAGTTTAAACTTATTTTCTTAAAGTTTAAGTGTTTATCTAAAATATTTGAAAAACTTTTATAGTTAATTTTAAATCAGAAAAATCAGAAAGTCAAAAACATTTTAAAAAAAAAATTCAAAACGTTTAGTTTTAAATCAGAAGTGAAAACCCTAAATTTTTTTTTTTTTTTGAAATCAAAATCATTATATTTTATTTATTATTAAAAAAAAAAAAAAAGGTAAGAAAGTACCTGGAGATATCCTGAGGCGGCTTGTGGTTGTTCTGAAATTTGACATATCACCAATTCTCTTCAATATCCTCTTTGTTCCTCGTAGTCTCCGGTGAAAGCGGCTCGGTGGCTAGGTCATACTCCAGCGAACTGAAATCGATCTTGATTTAGAGAGAAGACGACGGAGGATTGATGGAGATCATCATTCAATCAATGAAACGATGTATATGCAGAGATCATCATCGAATTTTACGTCATCAATGTCTACTTGGGATCATCATCAGCGTTGAGAGACTGCGGATTTTACTTCATCAATGTCTACTTGAGATCATCATCATCGGAATTCACAGTCTCTGTATAAAGACTTCGCTCGAGAAGAAGAAGAAGCGAGAAATAGAGAGTTTTGATTTTTTTCTGTCAGGGAAGAATTGGAAGAGAGAGTGAGAGATAGAGAGAGAGAGAGAGAGAGAGAGAGAGAGAGAGAGAGAGAGAGAGAGAGAGAGGAAATTCACAGAGTCTCTGTATTAAGACTTTCGCTCGAGAAGAAGAAGAAGAAGAAGCTTTGATCTCTCTCACAGGGAAGAATAAGAATTAGCGTTGAGAGATTTATTTATAAGCAAAAGAGGTCCAAAAAGATAAGGAAACTAATAATCACAATCCTTAACAGTCACATAAAGATTTCCTTTTTCTCTGTAATCACAATTAACGGTCACATACAGATTTCCCTTTTTTTTTTTTTTCTCTTTTTTTGTTTTTGTTTATGTGATGATGAGTAAAATTAAGGTGAAGATCTCTGATGGTGCTTATAATATGCACGAAAGAGGTAACTATATAAAGGGCTTCGAAGAATCATAGATAGATTTTGTGATCCGATCCTCTTAAGTATACACTAACCACGACACTGTCTTCTTTCATGTTATTATGAGAGAGCTTTGGATAGAACCAAAGTAGGAGTAGTATCTCACAAAATTACGTTTAGAATCAATAATAAACAACAAATACATATTCAACGGCCGGTACAACACTTACAAACAAGTTCTCTTAATCCTTGCAAGAGGTCAAAGGATCCATCTTTGGACCTGCAATCCTACAGCTCCTTCAACTCTCAGTGCAGAACACCATGAAAGACGAAGAAAAGCAAGCTTTGTCTTCTTTGAAGCCTCTACTATCTCTGGAATTCTTCACGCAAGCTTTTAAATTGTGTTCCATTTACTTTGTGGGTTGTTGCAGCCAATGTTGGCTCCTCCTAATGCAGAACCAGTTTATGGAGCAGATTCTGAGAACTTGATTCATACAACAGACGCGGTTAACATCAGGCTACCATTGCTAGTCCAGGTTTCGAGACCTTTCCCCTTATCCGCGTAATGTCCATTTTAGGCCCGTGGCGGTTTCTAAGAATGGGAATCTTTACTTGCATGACAATGAAAAGAGGTTGTTGAAATACTATCCAAAGACTAACCTCCTTCGTTGCAATTTACAATTTACAATCATAAACCGGATTGATTTCATTCCAAGAGAACGTAACCATTCGGGTCATGGACTATCATTCTACTACTACTAGTCGTACGTTCTCTGTTCTGAGGAACTTTTTTGCAGACCTGAGCGTGAGACTCAGCTTCTCGTTGAAACTTCTTTACCATTTCGTCAAGCTCTAGTTTCCTAGTCTCCACATTTTCTTCTGCCACTGGCTCCTTGAGTCCAAGGTAGAGTAAAGCAGCAACCACTAACACCAAACCAGAGAAGAAGAGAACCGCTGAGAAAAGCACAAAGGCGTGTGGAAAATCTTTAGCTCCTGGTATCCCATCTACGTTGATTCCGAATAGACCGGTCACTATTGTAAGCAAAAGACCGACTCCTCCAAAGATTCCTAGGTTGTGTGTGACTGTGAGGCTCCGGTCCTACGCAAACCAAATCAAATTTTAGACGACTTGGAGAGTTAAGAACTTATGTCATCATCTCCGAATATGAAAATCTAACCTGTAACCATGCTCGAACCGTGTTTTGCATGACGTCTTGGATAGTGAATAACCGACCACGAACGGCTTCTTGCTCATTGATCATATCGCGGGTGCTCTTTTTTATTCCTTCTAGCAAGTCTTTTGTTCTATTGCCTTTAAGTTTCTGAAGAAGCTCGAACACAATCTCTTCTCTAGCGTGAAGAGACCATTTCACCCGTATAACCTGATAAATGATGAAGAAAAAAATATTGTAGTGATTATAAAGTCACTTGTATCAAGAAATGAATAACATTATTCCAGATGAGCTGATCTCATCTCGTAGTCAAACAAGAAAGCCTTACCTGGGTCGAGAGCCTTCTGATCTCTCGATTCAAGATTGTAGTGAACAGATTTAAATCCTCGTACAGTCTCCTGGATATCAACAAAAACAATTTATTCTGCTCCATCAAACATATGTCAAGGAGCCCGCTTAGAAAGAAAATACCAAAGTAAGAAAAGGCTCAGTTGAATTACTTGTTCATAAACATCAACTCAACTTCATCAGCTGCACCAAATACATATTTCCGGAATAGCCTACATTAAGGATAGTGATATCATCAATCATCATAGGGTTAAATCAAGAGGATGAAAAGAATAAAAAGGTTCTTATATCTGACTAAACAGATAACAGGTATAAAACTGTCATCTAGTACGGTAAAATGATACAACTTGTATCTTTCAACATTTGACTCCCATCTTTCAAACTCTAAGACTAAGATAAGACATATTGGTTCTATCAAAGCAATACTAAGGCTTGACAAGTTCATTGGCTACACCGTATAGACCAGGTAAATGTGTATCCATAGCTAAAGGCTTGCATAAGGAATACTAAACTTCCCCAATATACAAATTTTTAGAACTTAATCTAGATCAAGGTTCAAGGGAAGACAAATACCTATCATCCCAGCGTGCAAGGCGGCAAGCAAGATGTGCTATTAGTTCATGAACGGTTCTCGGAATGCAGGCTCCACCAGCAATAAGTATTTCCTGGTAAGACAGAGTGCATCAGCTTAGACAAAAAAGACATAGAAGAAGCCCCGAAAGACTGAAAAACCGTTTTTGACTAATTGAGCAACGAATGAAGGAAAACAATATTTCAGATGAGAAGAACAAACCTGGACTTGTGTAATACCTAACACACTAATGTTCAAGGCAAAGCCTTTGACGTGCAATGCAGTCACCAGAAAATTCTGTGCTTGCCATGACCTTAAGACAATAGGTATGTCATCTTCTTGGATAAAAGGATCACCGGCTGATTGTCCCAACAGCTCAAACAGCAACCCACCAGCAACTCTGACAGGCACCTATCCACCAACATATAACAACAAGTTTCATCCATTTCAGCTATAGAATCATATCACAGTCCACATTACAGAGAAGCAACAAACTCAGATACCTCGTAGAAAATATGTTTCATTCGCTCACTAATCAGCTTGCTTTCGTCCCGAAGAGCAAGGTTTACAGCCGGATGTAATCACTGCGCATTACGTAACCACGAGGCAATACCTTGATGGCTAGCATCAACATGACACCACCAAGTTGGACCTGCAAGTGGTCGTTCCCAGTAAGGAGCAGCAAGCTCAGCAACAGTGGCTTCATCCTCATCTAAGTCAATATTTCGCAATTCCCAGGTATTATCAACCTGCACAGTCTTAACAAGCTCAGAGATCCTATCCCATCCAATTCCTCGCCAATAACTCCGCGAGTGTTCTTCTTCTTCACCAGCACCAAATTCCTGTTTCTTTCTATCACAACAACAGTACTGTTCATTGGTTATAAATTCTACAAGAAAAAAAGAAAAAAAAAAGAGACTAAGCACTATTATTAACAAGAGTTAGTACATTCTGAGTGAGTTCTCTGACGAATCTCCGTGAACACTTGTGGTGTTCTTACGACGACCTTGACAAAACTCGAAAGCACAGATAAGTCCATTGGTCCAGAGATTATGATAACCGTCGTTGTGATTCGCATTCATACTTCAACCAATTTCACTTTAAATCACAGATTTCGTCGATTCACTGAATCAAAAACAGCACAAGTCTCGAAATTTCAGGCTGAGATTAAACGTAAGGCCATCACGAACCACGAATTTCAAACGCAACAAGTTTCCCCAGAACGCTGAGAAATCAATCTCTCTCAAGACGATGAAGAATGTGGCACACGACACGAGTCGAGGACGACAAGTCAAAGGCCCACACGTGTACATTTATTGGACCTTCTCTATTATGGGCCCAAGTTAAAAGCCCAATACGAAGGCGAGAGATATAGAGCAGTAACTCATTTTTTCTTGTTCTCAAACTCTCTCAGTCAGTATTTAATTTTAGATTTGGTCCCAAAAAGCTACAAGATGTTTAAACATTATTATGAATCTCTCTGTTAAAAGAAGACAATTGTCATGAATCAAATACTTAATCATCTGTTGAGAAGTAGGCTGCCAGAAACTTTTTTTGCTTGTTAATTATTAATCACAATTTCGGTGACAACTTAACCATCTCCTACTCTTCACAATCATTCTTTTGGTGTCTCTACCATTTAATAACTCACCAAAACCTCCTTACTTAAACTCACAAACTCCTCACAAATTTTCTGAATCTTTCACTTGAACATATAAACAATCATAACAATGGCTGGAGGCACAGCTCTAACTCCAACCTCTGTAGGATCCAAGTCAGTTCCAATGAGGAACAATGAAGCAGCAGAGAGAGGCAATAACAACAACAACAACAACAACCTGAAAGCATTACCCAAAGCTGTCCAACCGGTTTCATCAATCGAAGGAGAGATGGCTAAGAGGCCACGTGGCAGACCCGCTGGCTCCAAGAACAAACCCAAACCACCAATCATTGTGACTCACGACAGTCCCAATTCCCTCAGAGCTAACGCCGTTGAGATCAGCTCAGGCTGTGACATCTGTGAGACTTTATCCGATTTCGCAAGAAGGAAACAGAGAGGTCTCTGCATACTCAGTGCCAATGGTTGTGTCACCAATGTGACATTAAGGCAACCAGCTTCTTCAGGAGCAATTGTGACATTACACGGACGTTACGAGATCCTCTCATTGCTTGGATCAATCTTGCCTCCACCAGCACCACTTGGAATAACTGGTCTGACCATTTACTTAGCCGGACCTCAAGGACAAGTTGTTGGTGGAGGAGTGGTTGGTGGGCTAATTGCGTCTGGTCCTGTTGTTCTCATGGCTGCATCTTTCATGAATGCTGTTTTTGATCGTCTTCCTATGGATGATGATGAAGCTGCCTCTATGCAGAACCAGCAGTACTACCAGAATGGAAGATCCCGTCCTTTAGATGACATTCATGGACTGCCTCAAAATCTGCTCACTAATGGAAACTCGGCTTCTGATATCTACTCTTGGGGGCCTGCGCAGCGTGCCATGTCGAAACCTTAATACTACTCTCTAATCTCCACGTTTCATCATATCAAGTGCCTTAGTCTTCTTATTATCTAATTTACCTTGGAATCAAAGATCAATGTTTCTGTAGGTAGAGAGAACTATAAGTTTGGTTAAAACTGAAGCTTATCTTCCTCTGTAGTTTGTACCTGCAACAGTAAAATGAAGAAACTGAGAAAAACACAAGTAATGTTTATGAATTTTAAGCACAATCCTCTAATTTAATACGAAAAATATGTGAAACTTTTCTCCTTTCACCTCACGGAAAACTTAGTAGATAAACCACAAATGCATTGAAACATCGAATGATAAACTAACCTTCAAGCACATGTAGACGGACTTCCAAACGACTTTTCTGGATTTGGATCAATAACTTCTGCATTTCCAAATAAACATTCTCGATGAAGTTTTCTTTTGAAAGATGACGCTTTCCTGTAATGACCACACACGACAGAGGCAAAGCATGCCATGGCATTAATTAGAGATAAAGACATATAATCATGCCTGTTATAAATTTCGATAGTTGGTTCAACACATGCATAGGCCTTAACTACGTCTCCAAGAAATGATATAAATACATGCAAATGTACATGATAGACAACAAAGCATCATCATCAAATATTATCATCACCAGTTTCTCCATTTATTATTCTATACCAAAAAGCAAGAAATTTATCAGAAAATGAAGACGAAGATGTTAATAACCCTCTTTGCACTTATTTCAGTAGCAGGAACATCAGAAGCGACTGGTAGACTGGCTGCACAGCAGAACACAAGCATTATACCTACATACTCACTCTGGTGCGTGGAAAATCCATATGCCTACTTTACAAGAGTGATTTGGAACCTAAAATGGGCTTGCAAAAATGGTGCTGATTGCTCACCATTGGCAAAGGGTGGCCGTTGTCAAGACCTCGACTATTACAGAAGCCGAGCTTCTTATGTCTTCAATGACTATTACCAGAAGAATCCTATACCGAGAAACTGCGATTTCGGTGGCGCTGCTGTGCTTACAATTCAAGATCCAAGTAATTCCAAACACTTCACTTTCGAAAAAATAAAACTCAAAATCACTAGAGTTCCATTGTGATAGTGTCTGCACGTCAGAACTGATTTTTCACAGTCATCTTCAATTTGTGATTGTTCTTCTTCTTATATCTGTGAACTTTGATTGCAGGCACTCCAACGTGTAAGTTTCCATCTAACAGGTGCGCACAAGATTCATTTTATTTTTTTCATTTTGTTAATCTTAAGGAAGAAAAACACAGTAAATAATTTATATAAATCAATGTCAGCACTGGTCCATACCCACTGACTTCTTCAGTAAAAAGAACTGCAACTCCAAACCTAGGAAGCTTCTTGTGGGGTCTTGTATTCACATACCTGGCTTATAGTGCTGCTCAGATAGCTTGACCTGGAAGAAACCTGTAGAATAGGACAATCAAGGTGTGGTTTTAAGAGAAGAGATATTTTGTATATGATAAATCAGCATAATACCTAAAATGATATCTTCCGTTACATCTCCAAAAGGACCAAAACTATGAAATTGCTTATTTCTCTGCCAGATAAGTGAAACCAATCCTAGTTGTAGCATCAAACAATTAAGCGAAACCTGATTTAATTGTAGAGACATCCCAGTTTAAGATACCAAGTAAACTGTAAATCTCTGTGGATTTAGGATGTTTTTTCCCACAAGATACAAACTCATGAACTTCAAAATCCACTTCAATCGAACTGCAGCCAACTTCTTTCTCCATTTGTCTTTCCTTCATCAAAAGCCTCTGCTCAACAGCCTCTTCGAACAAGCCATAAGAAGCATAAGCATTAGACATGAGCACATAACCACAAGTTTCATCTGGATCCAGATTCTTCAAACAGTTTGCTGCGCGTTTAGCCATCTCAACATTACCGTTTTTCCTGCAAGCTGCAAGCAAAGAACTCCATATAATAGTGTCTCCTTCCACCGGCATCTTCTTTATCAATGCTTCTGCTTCATCGAGGAGCCCTGCTCCCCCCAGCACATTAACCATGCAAGTATAGTGTTTTATTGATGGCTCAATCATATATTTTTCTCTCATCAATCTGAAAAATTCACCAGCTTTATGTACTTCCCCGGAATGAGCACAAGCTGTTAAAACACCGATGAAGCTGACTGAATCTGGCTCCAAGCCAGTACGCTCTAACTCCAAGAACAAATCCATGGCCCTTTCCTCGCATCCATTATTAGCTAGACCAAGAATCATCGAATTCCAACACGATAACTGCTTCGTAGGAGCACACTCAAACACCTTTAAACCTTCCTCAAAGCACCCACACTTACAGTACATATCTATGAGTGCTGTAATAACTATACTATTCAATTCAAATCGATTCCTCACTATATACTTATGTATCCATCTCCCTTGCTCACTTGCTCCAAGGTACGCACAAGCATTCAACAGACTCACCATTGTAAACCCATCAGGTTTCACATCTCTCTCCTGCATTTCTCGAAACATCTCCAACGCATCCTTAAATCTACCATTCCTCACAAACCCACTGATCATCGAATTCCAAGAAACTCCATTCCTCTGCGGCATTTCATCAAACAGTTTCTGCGCCTGATCAATCAACCCGCATTTAGCAAGACCCATAATTATCGAATTCCAAGCAACAACATCAAAACCCATCATCCCCACAAAGAGTCTCCAAGCTTCAACCAAACACCCACAAGTCACGTACATATGCAACATCGTATTCCGTATGAAAGAGTCGTCTTCAAGTCCTTCTTTAATAACCCTCCCGTGCAACTGCCTCCCATCACGAGCTAGCCCAAGACTAGCATAAGCTTTAAATACCGAAGGATAAGTCAGCCTCTGCGGCTTCACAGACGGAGAAGAACACAACATATCAATGAAAATCGAAATCGCCATCTCCGGAAACGAGCTACGTGAGAAACCACGGATTATAGTGTTCCACACAAATGGGTTTTTGTGATTGATCCTTGTGAATACCAAATAAGCGTAATTCCTATCTGACGGAGACGCACAGCAGAAGGCGAGGACACGACTCGCAGCAACAGTATCGGAAATTAAACCGGTTTTGATGAGATTGGCGTGGATTTGCTTAAGTTCTCTCATCGTACTACATCGTGTGTCTATCAATCGGAGACAAGTGTTTCCGGAGACGAAACCTGATGACGGAATCGCCGGCACCGTCACACCGGAAAAGCATAAGATCGTCGGAGACATTTTTTACCCGCCGAATTTTTGTCGATTTATGTTTAAAGTTTCGATATTTATGGGGAAAAACACTTGTCCTTTTTGGGAGATTACACACGTGTGGAAATGATCGCCATTGATATCAAGATATTGAACAAGACAACCACACGTGTGTAGTTTTTTTCTTTCTGAACTTAACGATTCAATTCATTGCAAAAGAAGATCAATCAACAAGAACAGAGTACAAGGTTTCAACAAACTGTCTAGTCATTTCAGCAAAAGTGATGTGATTATTTCATAATTTGATCTCTTAAGAGTACAAGTACAAGGCAAAACCACCAAAAGGAGCAAAGAACCAGGCTTTATCTCTATTGCTTCAAATCTGCAGGGCATCAGCAATGGATCCGGCGAGGCTCAAGACTTCGAAAGGAGCTTTGTTTCCTATGGCCTTAACCGTCTGTGGACAAGAATCCGTGATCCAGAAGTAAGCAAACGCTTCTTCCAATCCTAATTCAAAGAAACAATAATATAGACTTCAGTTTAAAGATACAACAAGATATGTATAGAACAGTGAACAAAGTCGGTTACTTTTTCTTCCATTTTCACAGATAATTACCGTTGTTCTTGTGCGTGAAACGCTCCCACGAGCTCTTTGGGAAGACACCATGTGTTACATAAGCACTCACCTTTGCGGCTCCATGAGCTGCCAATACTTTCTGTGTGACAAAAGAAAGTGAAACGGTTAAGATGAGTGAAACCGCCAAAGTCTAGACAATTTCAAACTAGATTCTCAACAAATCTAATATAACATCATCGGCAGATTTAAGAGATAACAAAGATCTCGATCAAAACTAGTCTGAACTAGGAATGTTAACACAATTCTGCGTGAAAGGCTTAAACAAGTTAGACCTAAAGCCTACCCTGAGTTTGAACACAACACTTGTGATTCAGAATTCATTGAAGCTTGCTATAGGAAGATGCAAAACGCAGGGAGACTGTAGTTCATGAGGATTTTGATACCTGGCATTCGATGAGTGTACCCCCAGACTGCACAAGATCATCCACGATAACAACGTGACAACCAGCGGGGTTTCCTTCCTTCAGCCTAACTATTCTCTTGTCTCCTTCACGAACCTTTGTACACACAACCTATTATGATTCAAAATTAAGTTCCATTAGATATTGTGAAGGTCATAAAATTGTTCAAATGAAGCTTTATGAAATATATCATTCTCGTATAGCTACCAACCGTGGGATACTGATCCAACAGCTTGTGGAAACGCTTCCAGGCTCCATCATCTGGAAATGCAACTATGACCTGTAAACAAAAGAGATCCAATTTAGCTGAGGGAGCAAAAACACAAAGAACAGTCACTGAAAACACGAGCGGATGCTATCCATAACAGTTTTTCCCCTTCTAAATAGGATAAAACTAACAATGATTTCATGAACTAACTTTCTCAGTCTCAGGAAGCTGTTGAAGGCGTTTGGTCAACAACGGGATTCCAGTCTCAAACAAAGGAAGAACCTGGTCAGCAAAGTAAAACCTTTCCTGCAACACATGAGCATATATAGAGAGTGAACAACATGAATTCCACAAATAGATGTAGCAAATCCCGGGGATATCAGAAATAAATAAACAAACCTGCAGGGCGTGAATGTCATAGATGACAACACTAGTCGGACCACCTCGTGAAATGGGGATATTAGACACAATCCTTGCCATGGTAAAAGCAGTTGCTACATCGCCTTCCTCTTCCATTCTCTCAAAGGAGCCAGTGGGGAAAAAAGGCAACACTAAAGTGAAGGACGCGACAAACAAGCGCGGGAGCAAGTAAATGACAGAGATCTGCTCAAAGATAACCGCAGGAGAACTGAATGAAGCAAGGAAAGCAACGTGCTGTCCTCTGATTTCATGTGCGTTGTTAATAAACAGATTAGGGAATCCATCAGCAAAACTCCTGAAAGCATATATAACAAATGACCAAATCAATTCACATATCCCCAGTCTCATCACCAAATACTACTCAATGAGAGATTGATTTCACTGTAAGAACACTTAGATTGCAAATTTCTTGACATAGAAAACTGAAACTTGCTAGAAAGATGAAGCTTTTGATTACATAAGCCTCAAATCAAACAACCACACAAGCAAAACACAGATTCTGGAGCAGAACAACAAAAGGGAGTTTTGTTTCAGAATAAAGATATAATTTTTACATAATCTAAACTCACATAAACCCATTAAACATCATTAAGAAACTCAAACAAGAGAACCCAGAAAATGGGGGAAAGAGGGAAAACCTCCAGTTGATGGATTGAAGAGTGATGTCATCAGATTCAGCGGCGATGTTACGAGCAAGTTCTTCACACTCTAAGCAGTAAAAGAGATGAACTTTCTTCTTCTGTAATTCAGACACGATGGCCTCTGTACAAATCTTGGTCTCCATGATGTTGTTGGCTGCGTTCTCAGACATTGACGCCGTGAAAGAGTCCGAATGTGTTTGCTACGGAATCGGATACACAAAACAAAAAAAAAGGGTTTAAAGGTTTTTATTTTTCTGAAAAGCCCTTTTTTTTTTGTTCGGCTGACAATTTTGATTCCTTACTACACTTTATTTCTGTACCCCAAATCTATAAATGATTCTTTATTTTATTTTCAAATAAAAATAAAACTATACTTACTGTCACTGAAAATCTCCTCGAAATTTCACTAATGTTGTCATTAATTCCAATAATTGAATATTTTCAAAACTTCAAACCTATAATAGAAAAAATCTCAGTATCAATATCTGGAACCTGTAAAAGCTGGGTTTTTCACTCTCTTTTTAACAACTAAAAGTATTTGCTGTGACTATAAAAACTAACAATAGAGATTATTTCTGGTCCCGATTTTTTCTTCTTAGTTACTTGCTAGATATTAAAAATATATAGATTCAAATGTCATTTACTATTCAACAGGTATTGGCGCATTCAAGTTTTCCTTTTCATAATTTCATTATGGCTATGAATGACAATAGATTTTAAATTAGTTTTTTAGATTTTGGATTTTGGCTTTTGGTTTTTGAATATTGGTTTTTGCTATAGTTGAAAAATGAGACAAATCTAGTTGAGAAAAAAGCTTTCCACAGAAACTTCAAAAATCAAAATCATGGTTTTATTTTCTCTTTGAAATTTAGAGAAATCACTTGCAAACTAGTTTTCCTAAATTTTAGGGAATCTAATTTTAAAAAAATCTTGAATGGTGAGAAAATTGATTTTCAAAAAAACAAAAACCAAATATAATAAACATTCAAGGCCATATACAAAAAAAAAAAAAAAGGTTTCGTTGCATCATTATCATAAGTTAAACTTTTTATTTTGCCTTCTTAAATGGCATGAACCAACGCAATTAGCCAAATTAGTCATACATTCGGAAAGAGTAACATTTCACTAGATAATTCTGCCTTTATTTTCTTTAAAGTGAGAAATTTTATTTGAAAGTGGTTAATCTTGGACCAAGAAATAGTGAACGTAACACAAAGAAATCCAATCCAATATTATTTGAGGTCGCTACCAGCTCCCGGTTTGAAATACTGCCTCAAAACCTTTGAATACTAGTACAATTTTAGAATTAAACCTTGATTAGTGTGACACTGACACTTAAATAAATAAATATAAAAATAGGCCCCCTAGGTCCTAATCCTACTCTGGTTGGACAAGGCCTTTTAACAAAATATAAAGTTTCCACTCACCAAGATTGGGCTCCAATAAGACTAAATTTCTTTTATTTACTCGAGAGGGGGAAAAAAAATCATTTTCTGAGGATAAATAAAGAAGTTGAATTTATACACATTGAATGATGACGTGGAGCCATGTGTGCTACAATAAGACAGCATGAGAACCAATCATGTTCGTCTCTCAATTATCATTCCACTGTCGTCCATCTTAAGCTCACGCCACACATCCTTGCGTGAACCACACGCACCACTCAAAGCAATATCCACCGTCCGATCATCCCACCTAAGTCTCATCCCATGGTTCAACCGTCGGATGAACCCTTCGCTTCGTCGTTCACAGTAATCCAAGAAGCTAACCACAGACACAGACTTAGCAAACTCCTTATCCTTCCAATGCCCACCCAACCTCTCAAAGTGACGTCGTTTTCGGCTCTACAAGGCCAAATACTCCACCATGCCGGCCACGGGCCACAAGCTCCGGCGGAGCTCCGGACTCGTCTCCCCATAGCCATATGGCCCATATCCTAACCATAGAACGTCGCAATGCAGATTCCACGGCGTTTCTAAACTTACTTCTTTCCATTAAAGATGAGCTTAATCTGATCACATACTCTCCATGACTTGCACCTGAAGTTACCGAGAACCTATCTACTCTATCACTGCTGTTTCCACAGAATCGGACGGTAACATGGTTTACAGGCTTCCGGAGACGATGAGAAACACCCTCGTAGAGAAACCTCTCCACAAAGAAGCTAGTATCGAGCAAAATCCGCACTGCAGTAACTTCAGATTCAAAGAAAAGGGCGAATTGTTTACCAGAAGGAGAATCTTTAGCCTCGTTGATGATACTTATAGAAAAACCTTTTGAAGCCTCATGGTTTGCCCATAAAGAGATTGCTCCGACGAGAAGTACAGAGAAAAGCCGCAGAATAATACCTGAATCCGATTCCGATGCTAAGCCTTTGGTGGTGGGTTTGGCTAGGAAAGGTTGTAGAAGAGTCTGATCCGCCATTGAAACCATGGATAGATGTCTACATAGAGAGAGATGTGTAACGGTTTTGTAATGGTAACTAATTGAGACAGAGACTTATAACGAATCTGTTGTACAACTAAATACTGATCATGTCTTTCACATGGACAGGATAATGTACACGCAAGAGAATGTTATATACACATTACTGATATAGAGAAGTTTCCGAAAATAAAGTATACATCGTAATGTACTAATAGGGATGTTTCTTTAATCGGTTGTTTCGAGTGAAGTAATCCCTAAAAACTGGTTACTTTGTTCCGTGGAAAAACAAGCCTTAATCTGTACATTCTGTTTCTTCCACAACCGCGCCAGATCTGTACACTTAGTTTACCTTTGATGGTGAGTTAGAGTTCCCAAATACTGGTTTT